CAAATAACACTTCACTCCGATCCTTACTGTAGAGAATAGGCCATCATAGGATGTTTCATTGCGGCACAAACCATTAGAGCGGGGCCGTGAAACGAACGTTCTGAATTTCGATCTATTTCGAGAGTGGGATGTTTGCATGATGAGAGTTGTACTGATAGATGAGAAAGGAAAGTGGAGTGAAATATTTTTTTCTTAACTGCTATCCTATTGTTTGATCTCTCTAAATAAGCTTTTATTGACATAGCTTTATTGAATAACCTTGGCACAAGTCAGCTCTGAATAAACGGAAAGGTTAGTTTGGGAATTCGCACATTGATACACATACACAAACAAGCAGGCTTCACAATTTCAATATGATTTCCACCATAATTAAATTGTCTTATTATCCTATGGAAGCGATTTTTTAAGAGTAAACATTTTGTTTTTAAAATCACAACAAATGAAGCTGGATGACTATGGTAGCTTGGAAAAGTTTTTTTTTGGATACATTTTTTTCATGCTAAGCGAAAATCAGTTGGTTAAAGTTCATTCGCAATCAAGACATGTTATCATGCCTAAAAAGAGCTTTCACTTTACATTCGAACTGTACAGGAAGAATTGGACAGAGTGTAAGTTGAAGTAGCAATAGGAACAATGAAAAGAATTAAAAAAAAAGAGCTAGAAATATTATCATTGGAATAGGGTTTCCACCCATTGTATGTCGATTAGCGCATATCGAGTGCTTAAATTTATTCATTTTATCACTGCTCTATGTTTCTATTGCTTTATTCACATTAACAATTGCTTAACTGTACGGTTGCATGCCATAATTATGCTTTCTTAATTAGCAAACATTTCATGTTTGCGGAAATAAATAATTTGCTAGCCGAAACAATCGGAGTTTAGCACTGATTTAGTTGGTGATTTATTCCTACTATACAATGGCATGCCTTCAAAAACTGAGACAAGATGTTGCAACGCTGGAGTCTTTATTTCCAAAAGAACACGAACGTTTTCAGGTTTGTAAGAAATTAGCATTAAAAGAGAATGTGTAGAAAGTGTCATTTTGTTTAAAATTTCCATGATTTTTTTTTTTTCATTTCAGGTGCTATCAGCATCTGTTGATGAAATTACCGTGCAATTTATTAATCCCCAAAACAAGCCAATTGTCGTCACTGCTAATGTTTTAGTAAGTTGTATATTTTCCTAAAGAAAGATTGCATAAAATGCTTGTTGCGAAAATTGCATGTACAGTAAAGAATGTTAAATGAAAATGTTTTTCCAGATGGCATTATATATTTGTTGTAATTGCAAATGCTATAACTGTTATGAAATTCGATCGAATTATAAGATTGTTATTTGAGAATATTATAGGAAAATTATCCGCATGTTGCACCTATCTGGTTTAGTGAGTGTGATGACTCAACAGTTACAGCAATTTTGCAGTCATTAACTGAAGCGGAAGCACCGTGCTACATTTTACCACAAACGCATGAGCTTGTTTCACGCTTATGTTCATATTATAATGTTACCATACCTACTGAATTGATCTCAATCGGTCCCGTAAGTCTTTATATTCTACATTTATCAATTGTAAAGTTCTGAAATTACAGGATTTCATGAGTTTTGAGAATTAACTTTGTATGTGCTGTAATTAACCAATATTAAACGACAATCAGTGAATTGCTTGAGTTATTGCAAGAAATTCATCTTTTAAATAATAGTCTGATTCAGAATCTTTACATGATTCTTTGAAAGGTAGAAATTACGTGCAGAAAAAGAAGGAAGCATTTTTAACATACTGAGAGTATTCGAAACATTTTGCTGTGATTTTGCAAATGTGTGTTTTTTTTTAATTCTTTATAGGTTGGAGATGAAAGAGATGAAGGAATGGAGAGTGACGATGATTATATTTTAATGGAAGAAGAAACAACGTCTCGTAAAGATGCAGGAGATGATGAAGTATCTTTCCTATTTTTTCCTTTTCTTATTCATAATTCGCCATCTGAATCAGCATCATTCCACTGCATTAATCTGTGATATGTTTATATGTTGTTTGCAAATCCAGGATTTATCAGCAGAACAGAAAGCAGTATTTGCGAGGCTTAATCATGTACAGCGTGAGCAGCATTTGACGGGTGCTGCAGCAGGTTCTGTGACAGCTACCGATAGATTGATGAAGGAATTGAAAGATATATACCGTTCGGAGCATTTCAAGAATGGTAAATTTCTTTGAATATTTTTCATTTTGCGTGTATGATTTTACAAATATTTCAATTTGTCATTTTAATTTTAGGTGTATATTCGGTAGAGCTGGTAATGGATAGCCTTTATGAATGGCATGTGAAGTTAAAAAAGTGAGTTTTGTTTGCCGACTTCACGATTTTTCATTTTTCATAACTTCTCCGTCAGTTTTGATGATTGTTACTATCCAGCGAAATATTCTTCATTCAAGGGTGGATCCTGACAGCAATCTAGCTCACGATATGCAAATGATGATAAGGAAAGAATCGCAGGACTACCTTTTGTTTCATTTCTTGTTCAAAGATACATTTCCGTTCGTTATCAGGCTCTATTCATTTCTTGTTCTAGTTCAATAATATATCTACGTAATGAGTTTTTTAAATAGATTTTGCAATCGATTGTCTATGCTTACTAAACATTGCATCATCTAATTATAGAACTTGGATTGCAAAAACTAAATGAAACATTTTATTCTAAAGATAAATAATTTTTTTCTTAAACCATAAAAATACTAGATTGATTTACATCGTTTTTAAGTTTCGAGCCGCCATTCGTACGCTTAGTTTCTCCAACAATTACGAATGGATTTGTTTTGGGCGGTGGCGCAATTTGCATGGAACTGTTAACAAGGCAAGGATGGTCAAGTGCATATAGTATCGAGTCCTTGATCTTGCAAATTGCTGCTACTTTAGTAAAGGGAAAGGTCTGTCTCCTCATTCTTTTTTGAGAAATGAAACATTTATAAATAAAAATGAGTGGAACACTTACTGCTGCTTGTTGAATTTTTTCACTATATCTTAAATATTTTTTATACATTATCCATTATTCTTTATGCACTATTATATTTTGTTATAATCAACTTGAAGAGCTGTTAGAATTGTTTTGTAGGACAGGTGATATGGATTTTTTTTAAAGACCTCTTTTTTCTATTTCATGAATTATTCTGATTGCTTAATTTGCAGGCACGCATCAATTTTTCAGTTAAAGGGCAGTATACTTTGGCACGAGCACAACATGCATTTTCATTACTTGTTCAGACCCATGCAAAATCTGGATGGTTTACACCTCCTCAGGCAGATGGATAATTAACATATGGTTGAAGTAACTGACTTAGTTGTAGCACCGAAATCATATTAATTTTGCTCTTGTTCAAGCGCCATCTCTTTTGACCTATCCATTTATTGCAATTCGTTCTTTCATTGCTTAGTATTTCTTTTCTTGTGTATTATCACGTATTGATGTTTCCATCTTGGATGTTATTTGATAGGTTTTTTCATATCATGCGTAGTGGAATTTTACTTCATTTTTTAGGAAGCCTTTTATTTTCGTATGGAATT